GCGAAACACATTTGCCAAGGATTTGGTTAGATTGTCCCACTATTTGTTGCCCATTGTTTTGAGGGGAAACAAGACCTCAGTAGCCTCTTTTTTTTTTTCTTTTTTTTTTTTTGTTGTTGTTGTTGTTGTTGAGAAGAGGGGGGGTGAGGCACAAATGTAGCCGAGGAGACTGGACCGACGGTGCGGGGGAAAAAAAAAAAAAGCCCTCGCACGCTGCTCTGCCTCCGGTTGTGCTGCTGGCTGGGGCCTGTCCGGTAATGCCCTCTTGCCGTGGGGGTGAACGATATCGTTTTGTCGTCTTCACCGTGGTTTTCACTGCGGTAAAAGCGCCCTGGCACTGATCATGGCGTAAATGGACACCCATAGCCAATTTCTTACAAGGGTTTGAAGAACTGAAGTACAAGGCAAAGTGCGATCGCTTTTTCTTTTTCTTTTTACCCCTTTTTTCCTTGTTCGGAGCCCCTTTTCTCTTTCCCGTCACGGGGAAAAAGCTATTTTGGATCCCAATTGCTTTCTGCAAGCAAACCGCACAGAGAGAAATCAAATCACAAGCACCATCAGTACCGCTCTGAGCCTCTTTCCCCTGGCGGGTTTCTGCTGCGCTTTCAGTCAAAAATGAACCAGCCCGGTGCTCTTTGTTGTTTTCGGCGCTGTTTTTTTTTTTTTTTTTTTTTTTTTCCCCGAAAAGGTCAGGGAGGCTGAGCTCTCGAAACGCCTCCTGATGAGGTTGCTAACTGGCGGCGACCGAAACTAGTCGGGGATGCCAGCTCCTTGGTCGTGATGATGGAGGTGCCATAGCCAAGCTATGGAATATCGTCTGTACTTCATTGTTGTATATTTCTGTGGATTTTTGCGAGATTGTTTTCACATACTTCTGCTGCGCAGTGCAGCCATGTGTTGGGCTTTCGTCGGTCCTGACTGACTTTGTTATTTCTATTACTGAGCTCCCGAGAGAGGATGCAGATGTGCACACAATTTGTCGGACAAAGTTTCATGGGAGAGGTAGTGGTGGTTTAATGCAAATATCCCTCCTTTTAAAAGGAAAAAAATCGCAAGCATTATGAACTGTCTCGACCAGCATGCATATGGCGATCAAACTACTCTTGTCGTCACCCGAACAGAACGCACAGTCATTATAGCCGTATTTGGCGCAACTTTCAGTCCAGAGGCACGGTTCATCATAGCCGTATTTGGCGCAGCATCAGTCCAGAGGCAGCGATAACAACCGTGTATTCTATTCGGGTGAAGACAGTAGCGCTCTTGCAGCCTGGTGGCATCTTGCGTCCAAATGTATTTGACTTGGCCCGGCCTTTCCCTTTCTACCGGAGCCAGGTCCTGTTTGGCCGGTAGGCATTGTCTTTGGGAGTTTTCCAGTTGTTGTTGTTGTTGTTGTTGTTGTTGTTGTTTTAACAAGAAAAACCATTCATTCCCGAAACATCGAAATTGAGGCTGAGGACCTCACAATTCAACCCGGAGTTATCCCAGCAGCATCAGCCGGTTTAGCTTATGATCTGACTGTTCCATCGGCATCTTGAACAGGACTGAGTCAAGGACTAGCTAAGGGAAGCTAGGAAGTCCTAAGCCTAACACTAGATGGAAATTGTTTTCCAGTTTCAGCCGTGCCCTACCGGGCTTCTCTTTTTACCCTGCTGACCGGGGCCGCACTCCTTCTGGCAGTCCTACCAGATCCCGCTTTGGGCCTGCTGACTTCGACCTCACTCGTCCTGGCGTGACTCCGGTCTTTGAGAAAGTGTGACATACACATTCCATTTACAACGTCATCATGCACCACACATGCATACGACAACTCGACGCAGTACACACTTGCAATGATTGAAAGAGCAAACTCCAATTCCAGAAAAGCGGATCCCCGACCGGTTTCGATTACCTCCCGGTAACCGTCATCAGGGGGTTTCTTCCACTGCACGATCCCCCACATCACTTCGTCCCCTACCCCTCCTCCGTTGCACGCTTGGCATCCCGGAAATGCCGACTGCCCCGTCGGTTCCAGAAAGAGATCACGCGGCCTCCGGGCCCTACTGATCCCCTCTGCTGCAAGCTGGGAGGCTCACGCGGCCTCGCAGTACTCCCACCACCCCCTTGGGTTCAAACTCCTCTCATGTACTGTCCTTCGAGAGCCCTCTCTCTCATATCTTGTCGCTCCTCTCTTGTGAACCACCAATCTTCTTCACGCCCCTACGTATGGTGTCCGAATCGAACCCGGGGGGGTCGAACTTGTGGTCGTCCTTCTTGTTGGCTTAGGCACCAACAAGTAGCGATGCTCTGCAAATAGAATCGGCAGCACTCTCCACAGAGGAGGGTGTTAACATTGATCTCTGCATGCGCTGCGCCCCTCAACGAACTACATGTCAGACATCCGTCCCTGCTTGGGATGATGATTTAGTCTGAACGTTGTGGTGGCACAAAGGCAACCGGCATTGAAACCAAGGCGACCTGCTTGCTTGATACGTTTTTGGGGGGGAAACTGATCATAGGGTGTTTTTTTTCTAATATGGAATCGCCAGCACCCCCAAGTACAGAAGGGTTGCAATTTGGAGATACGAAAGATGGGCTGAGTACAAAGATGAGGCGCGAGATTAATGACATATGTTATAGAGCCCCATCTGGATCATTGCCTTCCACGACATGTAATGCACCCCATAGCCCACAGTGCACTGCCTGTTATTTCTGAGAGAGTTTTTTTTTTTTTTTTTTTTTAATTATTATTATTTCACTAAACAGGTCTTTATGGTGTGAGAGTTTCTTAACTTTCCTTTGGACTGAAGTTTGACAGGTTGGACTGTTGAAATTCATACCTGAGTTCGAACCCAGATAGAACCAGATGAATGAACGATTTCCAAATCCAAGGATTGCCAACATGGAATACAGATGCATGTCTGTGCTCGCTGTCCTATTCTATTCTATCGTATCCGGTTAAGGTTTTTTTTTTTTTTTTACCGGGAACCTGGCCCGGCGTCCCTTGTAGTATTTCGAAATGCCAGGAAACGGGCCTGGCGTCGCTCGGACGAATTGTCGATTTCTGTGTGTCATCCTACCCTACCAGAGTGGCCCGGCCGGGCAAGTTGTGCGCCGGGCCACTCTGGTGCTTGCTGTCCTATCCTATTCTATCGTATCCGGTGGAGTTTTTTTTTTTTTTTTAATTTTATCGGGAACCTGGCCCGGCGTCCCTTATATTATTTCGAAATGCCAGGAAACGGGCCTGGCGTCGCTCAGACGAGTTGTCGATTTCTGTGTGTCATCCTTCCTACCAGAGTGGGCCGGCCGGGCAAGTTGTGTGCCAGGCCACTCTGGTAGCCTAGAACAGACACCTATTCGGCAGATCTAAGCCTCCTGCGGCAAAACGAGAAATCGTACGGGGAGTATCGCAAATTGAAATCCATTTGGGGTTCACTCACATGTTTCTCCTTTCCTCTTCCCTTCATTCACTGGCCACCCCTTCATCCTTGATTTTTTAAACTTTTAACCCCTGGATAGTTGTATTATCGTCATTGACCTGAACTTACGAGGGCTGCATAGCACTTATACCCCTCTTTGTTTTCCCTGATATATTTAAAAATAATAAAATGATTTCACACAGAATGTCCCAAGGGGTACAAGAGCGATATGCTGAGCATGTTCCCAGGGATTCAGACGGATGATCTGCTGCTGATCCCAACATGTCAGAATGCTGCCGTGGATCTCATCAGGCTTGGAGATGACGTGGCACAGGAGAAGGATCGACTGCTGGAAGTGGTAAGAAGGATCGACTGCTGATCCCAACACTGTCTGAGGTGGGAGGTGTTTGTGGTTTGCTTTTTTTTGAATTTTTTTTCTCTTTTTTTTGTTGGATGTGGTGGGACCATGGGAGTATTTCTACTCTCTGTTTCTTGATTTTGCTTTGTTTTGTTTTGTAAACTTTTTTTTTTCTTTTTTTTCTTTTTTTTCTTTTTTTTTTGCTTGTTCCATGTTGCTCTGACACTGCTTGGGTGCCAGGAGAAAGTTGGGAGTTGCAAACTCTCTCCCTCATGCTGAGGACCAAATCTCTCATATACCCTTCCAGCAGCAGCATTGCCCCGTAAATGATTGTTGACAGTTTGTATGAAAAACATGTAAGGAAACAAAACATAGAGAGAGGGAAAAAAAAAAGAGTTTGTGACTGTGACTAACACGTGGAATGGGAAGATATTGACGTAATGACGCTTGCTCATCCGAAGATAGCGATGCACATGTCCAAGGAATGCCAGTGTGATGATGAACAGGACTCGGAAAAAATAAAATAAAGAAAATGCAATGTAGGGCAGCAGAAGACTCAAGGATATGACCCGACACATCAGATCCAGACTGGACTCACACAATCATCATCACCCATGTGTAGCATATCAGAAAGTGAAATGCACTGAAAGCCTAGGATCTAGCAATGACGAAAGTGGCAACAACCAGCAGCATAGGTGCAACATTCACAAGGTGTCAATGTGCGCGATGCCAAGAGTGAAACAACGAGAAATCAACAACAGCACATTCGTATCATTATCATCATAGGCTGGGAAGCAGCGCAGCGGAAGATTTAGTATCAAAAGGACATGTGGACAACGACATGAAAGGGAGAAACTTCGGAAGGGCAAGACATCAGAAAGATTGCCCTTCCGCTCACACACATGGGGAGAGATCCATAGACATGCGAGAGAGAAGGGGGAGGGACATAGTAATCAAGTCCAACCCACCAAGTCTGATCTCCGAATGTCGTACACAGTTCGATCCCAGTGTAGAGTGTAAGTCCGATCTGAATGTCGTGTCCAATAAGGCAGAAGGCCGTGTCCAAACAATGTCTGCAGTTACCTCTATCTCTACTCTGATAAAGAAGAAGAAGAAGAAGAAGAAGGAGAAGAACTTCGGGGTAGGAGGAGAAGAGGAGAGAAGAAGAAGAAGAAGAAGAAGAAGAAGAAGAAGAAGAAGAAGAAGAAGAAGAAAGCTAGGCGCTTTCTGCACTTACCTGGCGATGGCTGAACTTGCAGGTACCGCGGAGCCAGCTATGGCGCTGGTGCAGCTTCAGCGGTGAATGCTGGCCGCTCCGCTTTCTCTCATTACCCAGATCCGTTCGTGAAGGTGATCTCCAACAATGCTGCGCTTCACCAGTCTTCTCGCCGTATCCCAAGTCCAATCAAAGTCTGCCACGTCAGCGCTTGATCTCGCCAGTACCAGCGAGTAATCAAGGAGCCAAATAATCAGCTCTTCTCGTCTCTGGCTGGCGAAATAGCAATGCGGCAACTCTGTTTTGTCGGCGAGTTAGCATCAGCACCTGACAAGAAGTTCACAATCAATATCTCACGCGGACGTGGAAGTGCCACGTCAGCATCAAAGTCCAACGGCAGTCAATATCCTGCCCGTCATCACCATGTCCTTCGCGCGCGTAGTCGGGCTCGATGTCTAGACAGCGTGTTAATAACCTCGCGCGACAATAATGTCACGAAGAAAGAGCATCCCCGATAATCACTTACCTGCGCGCGTGGAGAGAAAATGGCGCGCTCGTAATCAATCGCGTCGGAGAGACGCGAACGCCGTGATAGACAATGTCGGAAGTAGAGCTCCGATACCAAATTGCAATRTGCCCAGTCGTGATAATCAGTCGTCACTCGCAAAGACAAAATARACGAACRCTGCTGATAAATCATAATAATAATGATCCCAAAATGAGAGAGAATGCATACACAGACGAGAGAGGGAGGAGGGAGAATAGACTTTGAGAGGGTGGAAGAGTCTCCTCCCTACAGCCCACTTCCTCTTCGGGCACTTCCTCCTCCTAGCAGCATAATCGTGTCTCAATCAGAGATCCGGACATCCAAGACAATGTAGTCCAACAGTGCCACGTGGCACCAGCATACCAGTCATCAAGCAGCAGCGTGACGACGAAGTTGAAGACACCAGGTACGTATCACGACCCCAACCACAGTCCTGAATCCTCCTTCCGAGTACTTGTCAAGCAGAACAGCAATACAGGTGCCCAGCGCCTTCCACCTCAGCAGCAATACTACGTGGCAGCAGCCACGAAGATGACACGTGGCATCTAACACGTCGACAACCCCTCAGACAGTAGTGCGCCAGCTTGCATGCTGGTCGCACAGCACACTCAAGCCACGAACCAGCGACGAGCGCCGGTCGTCAAGTTCTCCCCGCAGCGTCTCGCCAGCAAGACAGCATAGAGCCGGCGTTGACGCGAGAGCATCGAGTCCCCATAGACTCCAGACGAGGGTCTAGATGTCAAAGCCAGGAAGTCAGCCCAATATGTAGTGTTGACGGCAGGGTCTGGGCCCCAGTCCTCAAGTCAGACACGGCCGAGATCGATTGTCGTCGACGGCCTGGATTGAGTTGAAACTGTATCCTCCTTGGTCCACCGTTCTGACTGGGTACCTGCACACATACAAGTCAATGCACACGACCAAGGGCCTGGGCGAGGTACCTGGACCTACAGTTCACTTTGACCTTTGAATTTCTTGCTGTGCATGGTCACACAGCACCCGCAGCGGCCTGAGGCCGAGCAGCGCGTGGTCGCGCTGCTCGCTGGGCCTGGGCTTGGGTTACAGTGCCCAGGCTGCTGCTGAACGCGGTTGACTGCACGACCAAAAACAAAAACAAAAAGAAAAGAACAAAGTACATCGAAGTACTCGTGAACAGGGAAATGTCTCACGGAGGGCTTACTATCACACATGCAGTACCGATTGTATCTTACCCCTATTAGGGTCCGATCCATTCTTGTAGTTTTTAACTTTTTGTTTTTTTTCTTTCACTTTTCCTCTTTGTCTTTTTAGTGCCCTGCCAACGAGGCAGGGCGGATTCCACGTTCTGACCAGCTCACAATCTGTGAGGGCACACTCACACTAATACCACACAAAATGAACCTGACCTCTGTAACGTCTTTGTTCCTGTTCCTTTTGTTTTTTTTTTCCCCTCTTCTTCTTCTGTGTACTCCACGCGGAATTGACGTTCTGACAGAGCTCAAAGTTACTGAGGGCTTCATCACACCACCTCTAGAGAAATGTTTCTGACGGGCGTCACTCTTCGTTGTTTTTTTTTTTCCTTCTTCTTCTTCTTCTTCTGCTTCTTCTTCTTTTTTTTTTGGGAAATCGTCGTCTTCTTTTGTGGATGCAACGCAGACTTTCTTTTTTTTTTCTTTTTTTTTTTCAACAGAGTAGCAGGAACTAAAACAGAACGGAACCTACTGTAGGCTCGGCAGAACTCAAAGAGCGCGGTCAAATTCAGGATCGGCAAAAACAGGGTTGGAGGTAGTGGTGGTGGTATAAGCCGAATCATTTCATTAATAGCTTGTGAATCGAGCGGGGGGGACCACACAATTCTACACGCAGAGTTGTCCTGGCAGCATTAGCCAGTTTTTTTATTTTATTTTTTATTTTTTTAATACCAGAAAGCAGTTTCCCTATAGATCCAGATCCAGACTTGATGACTTGTAAACAGCGCTCTACGAGGCTAACCGCAATCAACACCTTCCCCCCCGCCCCCCAGTACTTCAACCTTCAGAAAACCCTAACCCCAGAAACATTTAAGAGCCTCTTAAATCCCTAAACCCTAGCCCGCTTTTGCTAGAAACAGCTAACCCCTACTCTTTCCCCGTTGCCCTTGTCGCCTTTTTTAGGCCTCCGGTTCTTGCTGCTGTGTTAGGCTGATGGGCGTGGCCCTGTCTTCCTTTGTGGCAGGGGTCATCTGGCCAAATGCAAGGAAGCGAGAGGGGGGTGTCAATGAGAGAATACACGACTTGTCGGGGGGAAAAGGAACTGGAGTTACTGGACTGATGGTCCCCAGAATGGACATGCAGCAAGGACCATAAGGGCCTGATTATTAAAATAAGAAAAAAGGAAAAAAAACTTAAAAAAAGGGGAAAAAAAAGAAATAGGTTGTTGACTGCTTACAGTCTTTTTTGTCCGCAGTTCCTTTTTTGGAGGGGAGGGGGGAGAGTTTCAAATATTGGGCTGCTCACTGTCTTCTTTTTGTTTTTTCGTCTGCAGTTTGTAAATTGGGCGAAACTTGTTTGCGACAAGCTAATGGCCCGAGGCTACTGGTGCGACTATCTGGATCCAGCAGCAGGCCTCCCGGTAGGGCATTGGTTGGTTTCTCATAATACCTGGATTGTTGTCCCTTCTCTCTCTCTCTCTCTCTCTCTCTCTCTCTCTCTCTCTCTCTCTCTCTCTCTCTCTCTCTCTCTCTCTCTCTCTCTCTCTCTCTCTCTCTCTCT